AGTGAAATATAGAATTAAAACCCCGTAGTTTGTGGTACAAATAACAAAAATGGTTTATTTTGATTGATTTTAAATCTACAGACAAGTCGTCATTTTAAGGAGAAAACTATGACTAGTCGCCCACAAGTATAAGACAACATTTGCATCACCTAAAGATGGAGGATTTTGCTTGGATTAAAATCAACAAGTATATCACTCAACATCTAAGTGAAAAATATCAACATCTTAAATACTATGGGGAATAGGAGAATTACATTTCAACTATGAAAATGACTCATGTCTAAACTTTATGAAAAGTTTTTAAATGAAAAGTGCACAAAGGCACAAAAAAGTTTGAATGAGGTGAAGTATTTTTTATAGATTTTTTTTGAAATTGGTCAAAGTATGATTAACATTGATTGACATTTATTAAATAAAACAAAGTTTAAAAATCACTTGACAAAAGTCAAGGTTTTGTTGTTAAGTGGTTTGGAGTTTGAAAACAAGAAGGTTTTTGAAAAAGGGAGAAGATTTTGAAAACTTAAGAAGGGAAAGAGATGAAGTGACTATTCTAAAGCATAAAGTAAAAAATAAAGTTAGATATAAGAAAGATCTAGCCGAATTGTAGCACACTTCATAGCAAGCAAAATAGGAATTCCATCTGTCTTGAAGCATAAACAAATGAGCAAGCCAAATAAATGCAAAGATCCATAGTACTACAAGCATAGGGAAAGAGACCTAATTCTAAGTACAAGGGTCCAAGAATAATCTAAGAGGTCCAAGGTCTAACTCCATCCATGAACATAACCACAAAATCAAGAGCACCAAGTTTTTTAGAGGTTTAATCTTTTATTACTATTTTGAGCAAGATATAGTCCCAAGTGGACAAAAGAGAAAAAAAGCTGAAGCATAAACAATAATATGATATGAGATGATAATAATGAAGCATAAGAATAAAGAGAGATAGGGAGCGAGAAAGAAACATAAATAAAATTAGTACAATAATATTGTTAGTGATTAGTTGTTAGAATAAATTATCAACTGTTGTCAAATGATGCACTTAAGCCAAAGTTAATGAAGACTCATTGGAAGATTGATAAAATCAAAGTCTCCTAACAACAAGTTTCATAGGTAATGGACCTAAGACAAATAATCAACCATACTTGGACTTTCAAACATAAGTTTGAGCCACGAATGATTATTTTCTAATTACGGGACAATTTGGCGCTATATTAAGCAATTGTAATCGGGTTTATGTAGAAATCACAATTATCTGAGGTCGATCAATAAAAATGTTAATGTTAATGCATGCTAGAGAAGTGATATGTAGATCATTCTCCGAAAGCAATACCGCACAAAAAGAAAAGTGGTAACGATCTCATCTTCATCAAGAACTAAAAATAAGTTCCAATGATATCGAATATTTTTATCGATCAAAAGAAAAAGGAGAAGAGGAAAGAGAAAGCCAAATTGAATTGAAATTTCAAAGTCATTCCATCTTTAAGTTCATCCACTCATCTTGATGGATTAAAGCATTAAACATATCATTAACTCAAAGCACCTAAAATGAATTGAACAATTCACTTTAAAGATAGATTTAAATTAGTGAATGTTTATCCAACTTTCTCTACACCCTAAGTCCAATGAATTTAAAGAGAAATAGGACCTTTAAAAGTGTATTACAAAGCAAAAACCAAAGGGAAATGGAAGAAGAAGAAGAAAGAACCAAAATAGTCCCAAAACAAAGCCAAAATGGCAAAATGAACATTGTGTAATCAATTACCCTCAAGAAGGTAATCGATTACTACTGCTAAAACAACAGCAAATCCATTTGAAAATATGCAAAACTTGATCAATCATTTTTTTCAAACACCTCATGATCAAGGATGCAATTGAGCACGAAAATTAAAATGAAATAATAGCAAACAACACCAATGGAACACAATTTGCAAGATCCAAAGATCAAATAACAAGAATCAATAATAAATCATATTGTGAAGGATGTATCAAGAAAAATAATGGTGGATCAAGAGATTACCACTTCAAATCTGAAAATTCTTCAAATCAACTCCAAAAACCACACACCAAAGCCTTGATCTACAGAAGTTGATGATGAAAAAGTGAATGGATAAAGGTTTAACTCAAAGATTAGTAAGTTCAAATGATGAACTTGTTAACTTTCAAAGGAAGAAAGAGCTTTGGTGAATTTGTTAGTTGGAGAAAAAAAAAGAGTCAAGAAGAAAATTGACAAGGTGAATTTGGTTATCAAAAGCTTGTGAAATGAATAAAATGAGGCCTTTATTTATAAGATGTAGGCTTGGAAATTTTGGTGGATTGAAGTTTGGTTTGGAACCAAAATTAGGCTTGGAATTTGAATTCGGAGAGAAAATCAAGATAAAGTGGTGATTAGTGAAGGTGTATGGTGGAAATTAATTATGATGAGGTAGGAGAATTAAAATGAAGTGATTTAGAATATTCTCATGATAAAACATTTGAATTTAGTGCCAAAAATGCTGTAGAATTTGAATTCGACACGTTTTCACAAAAAACGCATTGGGTAATCGATTACCCTAATGCTGGTAACTGATTGCCACATGCAAAAATTGTGAAAATTTGCTTTTTGATGTACTGTCTTGGCTTTGGCTCAATTACTTTTGTTTGTCAAAGAAGGCACTGAAATAAATACATGAACTTTGGAGTCTCTTGAATAACTATCAATTAAATCTTGGAATTCATTCGAACTGAGGGACTGGTATTTGATATCCTTGATCCAAATTCTTCCTGAAAAAGTTAGTAAAGGAAAAACAATCACTTTTTTTAGATTTTAATTAATGGTTAGTAAACATAAACATAATTAAATATCAAACAAACAAGAAAACATGAGCGCTCAGTGATTTCTCTCAAGAATAAACACACAGGGAAAGGCAAGAGAACCAAAGCTTGCAATCTTGTTTGTGGAATGAGATGCAAATGATATGTGAGATCTTATGGGTAAAAATTAGGGTATTACAATAGTCATTTTGAAACAAAATTTATTTGCTAAAATGACAGTCATTTTAAAACGAAGAAAGTATTATGTTAATCAAATTTTTACAGACCATTAACCAAAATTATTTTTAAAAAAAAATTCAAAATTGTAGATATTACTATTCATTATATTCACGAACCCGGTAGACTGGACATATATAAGATTTAGTTTCAAAATAACATTTTATAAAAATAAAAATAACGATTATGGTATTTTGAAGACTATATTTGTATTGATAAAAAAAGTTAGAACTTTATTACTTGGATACAAACTTACACTTTTTTTTATAAGAGAAGGTGAAAAAAGAAAAAATTTTAAAATTATAAAAAAAATAAAAACTTAGTAAGATTCTATTGACATTAATTTATAGTTTGATTAATAAATTAAATATTAAAATATAATTTCAATAAAAGTTAATAGAATTTTATATTATATGATGGCTTAAATAGTATTTTTGTACCTGTAAGTTAGTGACTTTTTGGTTTTCGTCCCTGAATCTTTTTTTTTGTATGAGTCCTCATATGTTCACTTCTCTTTGGCGTTAGTCCTTGATGTCAATGGAACTTTAAAAAAAAATCTGAGATGACAGACGATGATGGCTTGGCTTATTCTTTATCATTCTTATTTATATTTTCTTTGAACACGTGGATATAATGTTTTCCCTCCATAAATAAGCCATCAAAAAGACATTTCTCTCTTTTATGTTTAGTCCCTGTAAATTAGGGTTTCATATTTAGAAAGGAATTCAGCTCAGGAAAGGTGAAGCGACTGGTGCGAGAGCTTGTCTGGGTAAGGTAACGAAGGGTGACGAAGCTACAATCCTGATTGAGCGACCTAATCGGATCTACCAGGTATGATATTTACGGTGAACATTCATTATGGGGGGGAAGATCGAAGAGTTAGACAAGGACTACAAGTTCAAAGCTAGTTTGGAGTTTGTATCTCTAACTGAATTTAAGGAGGCAATAACCGAATGGTCAGTGTTAAATGAAAGAGAGATAAAGTATGTGAAAAATAACAAGGTTAGAGTGAGAGTAGTTTGCAAGGGAAATTGTGGGTTTTTGGCTCTTGTTAGTAAAGTGGGTAATAAGCACATGTATAGAATGAAGAAATGGTTTGGTGCATACACGTGTGGTAGGGTTTTGAATAACAACACTGCTAACTCAAAGTGGATTGTAAAGACTATGGCGGCTAGGATGGCTTCATCAGATGGAATCAAGCTTCATGATATTGTGTATGAGATTAGGAGTACTTACTTTGTAGGTATACCTATGAACAAGGCATGGAAGGCTAAGAAAATTGCAAAAGCTTTGGTTGAAGGTGATGTAACAAAGCAATATACACTTATATACAAGCATGAGAAACAAAGATGAAAGAGTTGATGATGGCTGCAGCAAAGGCCACATATATACAAGCATGGGAAGCAAAGATGAAAGAGTTGAAGGTGTTTAATCCTAAGGCTTGGGAGTGGTTGTTCAAAATACCTACAAAATCACGGTGTAAGCATGCTTTCTCATTCTATCCCAAATGTGATGTGCTAATGAATAATGTGTCTGAAGCTTTTAATACCATAATCTTAGTGGCTAGGGATAAACCAATCTTAACCATGCGTGAATGGATAAGAAACTACCTTATGAATAGAAATTATAAATTAAGAGAAAAAATGGATAGGTGGGCACATAGGATAATGCAAAGACCTAGAATTAGGTTAAATAAAGAGGTAGAAAATGTTGGTAATTGGATTCCAAACTGGTATGGTGATTTTAATTGGCAAGTTAAACATATTCGTAGTAAACACAACTTCATAGTTGACACTTCTAAAAGAACTTGTACATGTAACTTTTGGAAATTGGTAGGCATACCATGTAGACATGTAGTTGCTGCCTTAGGCTTTAGGAATGAACACCCTGAAGACTATGTAGATGACTGTTATTCTAAAGAAACATATGTGGCATGCTAGGATTTCAATGCTAGCCCAACTAATGGCTAAGACATGTGGCTTGAGGTTAATAATGAGGAGATGTTGCATCTATCATACAAAAGAAGCCCTGGTAGGCCAAAGAAACTAAGGAGGAAGGAACCTGATGAGGACCCTAACAAAGGAAGGACACCAACATCTTATTGTTGTACCAACTATGGTGTACATGACCACAATGCAAGGAGTTGTACAACTCTGGTGCCTGACCCTGAAGCTCTGAAAAGAAAGGTATTAACTTAATTATGTATTCTTACTAACTGTTTCTAAGTGATATTGATTGAATCACTCTGTGTGCAGAAAAAGCCAAAGAAAAATGCTACACAAACAACACAACCTGAATCTTCTACTGAACAACAGAACTTTGAAGCTTCTACTGAACAACAACAACCTCATCATGAACTTCCCACTAAAGAAAAGCTAGAAACACAATGTGATGTAGACCCAGAGTTTGAAATTCTTGCAGCAGATCTTTGTGCAGCTTTTGAATGAACACAACCTTAGCACAATGTCAGTGATCTAACTTCCCAAATTCCAGCTCCAACTAATGTCGCTAGTGTCCGTGCTCCAACTGTTGAGGTTGCATCCTTAATGTGTATGTTCTCAGTTTTAATTGACTTAATGAACCTGCTTCATTGTGTCATTGTAGGCAAAATAACCCACACAAAAGGTCGCAAGAAAGTTGGCATTGAGGAAAAGTGATGGACCAAGGGTGCTCAGAAGCAACAAGCGCAAAGTAGGAGAAGGAAGTAACCTTACTAAAAGGATAAGAAAGTAACCCTACACAAGGGGGTACCATGGAATTTGTAGTCATTGGACCTGTTTTGACTTATGTTTTATTGAACAACTTTACTACAATGGTGTACTTAAGCCTTGTAGTTTTCTATTATGTATTTTGTCGCCAATGTGTATTTTGGCTTAAGACTTAATGTTTATGATACAATGTGTTTTTTTGGCTTAAGCCTTTATGTGTATGATACAATGTGTTTATGATGCATTCACTATGCCAAAATTGCTTTTTGGCAGCACTACAAAGACGACGCTTTTTTCCAAAAGCGCTGCTAAAAGTAAAAAACAAAAAACAAAAAAAAACAAGGGAAAAAAACGCTGCTAAAGTATGCCTTTAGAAAGCTCTTCTGAAAAGCGATGCTAAAGGTCATACCTAGGCTAAACAATAGAAAGCACTTTCTAGAAAGCGCTACTAAAGGCCTACATTAGAAAGCGCTTTTCAAAAGCGCTGCTATAGGTCCTGTCTAAGTCACACCTTAGACAATGCTTTTCAGAAGCGTTGCTAAAGGTCTAGGATATGAAAGCGCTTTGTAAGCAAAAACACTGCTATAGGTATAGGAAAAAAAAGCGCTGCTATAGGTATAAGAAAAGAAAGCGCTGCTATAGGTATAGGAAAAGAAAGCGCTTCAAAAGCACTGCTATAGGTAATTAAATTCTAAAAATAAAATAGAATTTTTATGTTTTGGAAACCATTATGTCTCTCTCTCTCTCTCTCTCTCTCTCTCTCTCTCTCTCTCTCTCTCTCTCACTCTCACAGACGTACCTCTATTCCTAACCCTATCAAACGTACTCCCTCCGCCGTATCTTCCTCCGACCGGTCGTGTTATCAGTTGCGACTACTTCCTCCGCTGTAACACCCCCCGTCTTCAGTTATATCCTTCTCCCTCTGTTCGCGTCCAGCCGCGCTCCACCATTTTCAAGGTATTTCTTTATTTTCTTCATTTTCAAGGTTATTTGCATGGTATTTCCTTTTTTTGGATTTGCAAACCATAAAACACATTGTGATGTTGTTGTTATTTGAATTTAATAGAAGTTTGAATGACATTATTGGTGAATTAGTGTTGAAGATGTGAAAGTAATGATATTAATTGTTGGAATGAATTGATGAGTTTGTTTTGTTGTGGAAACAATTGAAATGAGACATTGAAAGTGTTGATGTGGATGTTGTTTGAATTTGATTTCGAAATTTTGTTGTAGTAAGGTTCAAGAGGAAAAATGTTGATATTTGTGGTGAATTTATTTTGAGTTTTGGTGTTAATTTTGTAAGTTAATGTTGAATGTTAGTGATGAAGTTGTTGAAAATAATTAACGATAATAACATTGTTGATGGATAATTGTTGAATGTTAGTGATTATTTTGTTTTGATCTAAATGTTGATTGAAAATGTTAATTAGTGATTACTTTGTTTTGATCGAAATGTTGATTGAAAATGATAATGAAATTAATTGTTAACTGTTAAGGTTGAAGATGGTGAATAGTGATGACATTGTGAATTTAATTTTGATAATCATTGGTGATGTTGTTGATTGAAACTTGAATGACATTCATGAATTAATTGTTGAATATTTTGATGTTGTTGATTGTTTGAACTTAAGTGATGAAGTTGTTATATTTGGTAATTTAAATGTGGATTTGATAATTTTGGTGATTGATTTATGCTCGAATTGATGATTTTTTGTGACTTACTTAAGTTGAAACATTAAGTGTGATTGAGTTTGCGCGTTTGCTATAGTTGTTTGTTTGCTATATTTGCGTGAATAATTAGTGTTTTTGTTTAGCTTACTTAGTAAAAACCATGGATAAAAAATGGATGTCTTCCAATCGATTGTCAAAAGAGTACGAGAATGGGGTATCAGAATTTATTAAGTTTGTTGTCGAACACGCCAAAGACCCCAGTCGGATCACATGTCCTTGCTTAGGTTATTGTTTTGGGCGTTGGATTGATGCAGTTCAGTTGGAATCACATTTAAAGAGGCATCAAATTGATCGAAGTTATACATGTTAGATATTACATGGTAAGATAAGTAACGAAAATGTTGAACCGGGGGATAATACAACGACACAGATACATACGACTGTGATCGAGTCAAAGAGATTGCAGAAGCACTTGAAGAAGATCTTCAGGGTTGTCCCAAAATGTTTGAGAGGTTGGTAAGCGATGCAGAGAAACTTTTGTATAAAGGTTGTACTAAATTCACAAGATTGTCTGTGGTATTAAAGTTGTACAACTTAAAGGCGGACAATGGATGGTCGCATAAAAGTTTCACAGAGTTATTAGCCCTTATAAAAGAGATGCTTCCAGAGGATAATGTTCTTCCCAATCGAACCTATGAGGCCAAAAAAATGTTGTGCTCTATTGGCATGAGCTATGATAAGATACATGCTTGTCCAAATGATTTCATTTTGTTTCAAAATTAATATGCATCGTTAAATGTGTGCCTTAAATGCGGTGTCTCTCGATATAAGAAAAAATTGTCTCCAACAAAAGTCTTATGGTATTTTCCTATAATTCTGAGATTTAGGCACATGTTTCATAGTGAAACAGATGCGAAACACTTAACTTGGCATGCAGATGAAAGAATTATAGATGGAAAGTTTCGACAACCGGAAGATTCACCACAGTGGATGAAAATTGATAATGATTATCCTGATTTTGAAGAAGAAGTAAGAAACCTTCACTTGGCATTATCAACTGACGGAATGAACCCACATGGTCTCTAAAGTATCTTACATTCCACATTGTCGCTACTGCGAAAATCGGCGCCGGCTATGACAGAAGAGTCGCCACCGTGTGTTATTTATCCCAACGGAGGGAAAGGAAACGCTCAGAGTAAACCTAACGTAAAACGGGAAAGGAATGGTCATCGCAACCAAATCATGGATTCGGGAGTCGATTACGCAAGGGGAAGGTATTAGCACCCCTCACGTTCGCCGTACTCGACGGGATCCACGCTTGTTTTCTAGTACGGATTGTTATTCTACTCTAAGGGTCTGGGTTAAAAGGAAAAGAAAATGACTCGACAAAGTATCGCACTTTATGCCTACGTATTCCCGTCTGGAACGAGAAATCAGAGTCAACGTAGTTCGCCTACCTACGGGAAAGGATGGGAAGGTTGCTCGCTAGGATACGACATCCTATGCCTACGTACTTTCATACAACATGAAAGATCAGAGCAAACGTAGTTCGGGCTACGGAAGACACAAGCTTGTCTGTCTAGTTTTTTATTACCTTAAAAAAGGGTTTTTCTTGATTAAGAGTCCAAACGGACAAAACTGACACTTTGATGTTGGTTTGAATCTTTTATGAAAGAAATGTTTTTTTAGTTTGTTTGCAGTCTCCGACGCACTAGAGACTATGATTTGAGAGTGACTACGTCGCGTGTCACCCAAAGGGTACCACACTAAGCAGCCAGACTACTGGAAAGAAGCTCTCCAGCAACCCTTTCTCAAATAGCTTAAGGCTCGTAACGTACGACATCGATTAACCTTATTACTGTATTTTTGAGTTGTTTTGAGATAAGAAGAGAAAGAAGCTCTAAAAAGCCTAGGGTTGAAAAGGGAATAAAAACTAACCTAATGTTGTCATGCATGGATAAGAATCCTATTGTTTGTCATAATTCCCTCTTGCACAGAGGAAATCAGAGATCCTAGGGGATAAACAGAAAAGAAAGCAAGCAAATACAGTAAAATGCATGCAATGCAGCAATACAAGCGAGGTAAGGGAGTCCCACTCGACCTCGAACCTGAGAAAACAACAGGCAAAGTGAATCAACATTCACTTCAAACCTAAGGGGAAAGCTACACAAGCTAACAAAAAATACAGAAAACAAAACCCAAAGCAGAGGAGGCAGCCCCAAGCAGCAGCACCAAACTCCTACAGCAAACAGCAGCTCTGACAGCAACAGTAAACCCTAGCTTCAATCCTCCAGCCAGCTCCTGACAGCAAAGTTGACAGTAACATAACTCCATCTTCAAGAAAACCTTATGAAAGGCATCTTCAACATCTTAGATCTTCATCTCCAAGCTCTAGCAAGCTCCACCAAGAAATATTGGTTATTGAGATCAAGTTATAATGAATAGAAACTAGTGAAAACCAAAGGAGATCACTAGAAACCATCATTTGCAAAGAAGGGTATCCTCAAAAGGTCTACTCTTTAAGGCATGTCACTCATCCCTCCAAGGGAGAGATGGGGCTTCCTTAAGAGGACTTTGAATCATAGGATAGGATGGAAGCAAACAAAGCATTCCATGTTTGAGGAAAGAAATGAACTAAGTCTAAAAAGCTCTTCCTAAAACCCTAATTTTCCTAAGCTCCTGACAAGCATTCAAACAGATGAGAAATCTTCAACTCCAAGCTCCTTCAAGCTATCCAAAGCAACTTCAATGCCTCCCACAGCTCCACCAAGAAGAAACCAAGCCAAAAGCCAAAGCACAATGGCTAACCAAGTTGAACAAGCCAAACAATTAAGGGAGAAACCCACAAACATCACACCAATTGCAAAATACAAATAAAATGCTAAAATAGATCATAAAATCATAATTAAATTTCTAAGGGGACCTAAGCCTATACCCAATATCCCATATAAATCCTAGGACCTAAATCAAACACTAAGTCCCCAAACTATGCTCTAAACTACAACTAGTTGTTTTGAAATCCTAAATCTGACACTTCTTATGTTCACCACCCAAACTAGCCTAAAATT